ACTCCAATATCAATCCAAAAGCATTGAACTTAACACGTAAGTAAGGAAAATGAGGACACAAATAAAGATGTGTGTGGGTTCCTAAAATGTTAGGTGGAGCTAGACTACTTGCATTGTTTAGTCAATTGCCATGGATTAACACGCGAGCTGAGTTGCAGCTACTTTTTATATATGTGACGGTCCTATGTACTCTCTGGTTAGTTTCTACCGATGACGAGCGTCTATGGGTTTGTACGCTATACAGTTTTGATTTCCGGCTCATTTAGATATTACCCAACACATGAGCAATAATGGGACACGTTGGTTTTTTCCCATGCCAAACATGAGCTCGTACTCGCGAGTTGTAATTTATCGGCATGGGATATGGTTTTTCTCCTTGCTCAATTATTAAAATCTTAAACACCTAATTGTTACTATATTCATTGTAATAGAGTGTTTCGTGGTAGTTGGAACTAGATCTTGTGTATTCTCGTTATGTTGGACCGTCATATAAACGCCTTGTTGATAGGTGTAGGTGGATCTAACAACATAATAATCAAAAGAGGGTCATTGAAGTTGTCACGGAATTTCCTAAGAAACCTAATCACTTTACAGTTCATGTGATTCTTCATAAGAGAAGCTAGGGCACAATGGCAAGTAGGGATGCAATCAAAATAAGGAACGAAATGATAATTGCCAAGTTGATCGCATAGAGCACGTTGTCTTGATAAATACGGGGAAACACTAAGAGTGTCTTATTTCAGGAAAAAGATCGATTCAAAGCATATCGACAATGCGGAAAGAATCATTTTGAGGGAATTGATCCCCGAGTTCGTTCCAGGAAGCAACAAAAGTGATTCTGTACAAAATACTCCCATAAATGGTAGGACTAATTAACAGAGTGTTGGATCCTACTGCAATTTGTTGTTGTAATTCCAATGTTCATATAGAGAACATTCAGCATGCAATTGGTGGAATCTTGCTATTGGTGAAGCCAAACTTGTTCTTTCATCGGAAACAAGAATCATAGAGCACTCTGAATTGAAGAAATTCGTCTAATTTGAGAAAAATTACAGACTGATGTCTAATCTCTTTACATATATACTAAATAACCCCTATAATCTATCATAACAAGTACTAAACCATGAAATTATTTTATTTGCATCCTTCTTCACTCTCATATAACCGGCCACCGAGGAAAGGCCTAAATAGTTGTTGTGTCCGCCTACTTTGACCCCATTTTTGGCTGGCTATTAACTGGCCCTATGACTTGTGAGCAAACTTGGATATGTTTTTCTGGTCCGTTTGTTGATCAGGGTATAAATAACAGACCTTGTGTAATTCATCATTTTAAAAGAAAAATATACGCACTTCTTATATCTAATTATAAAAATTTCAAAAAACTATACCTACGTACCCATGGTTATTCTCATAAATGATCACATTCTAAGGTGTCCCTGAACAATATGATTTTTTCAACTTAGTCCTCGTAAAATTTGGAATTTATTAAAAAATTCGTGGATAATTAATTTGTAATCATTTGCAAAAAGAATCTGTAAGAAGAGAAGATGTAAAGGGCATGTGGAATTGTGGATCCACCTGCATATCCCCAAACACTGCGGAAGGCTTATCTGGGGGAAAGAAGATTCACTTGTCTTTCATCCCAGTTATATATTTAGTTATGCTTCCCTTTTCCAAGGTGTATCAGAATATACTTTGAACATGATTCAATCTTGATTACTTAGCTTGCCCCCTGGCCTTTAATATTGAAGAAAAAATTCTCGAATTCCCAATCAGTCTCCTCAGTCCTCTCCCCTATAAATAAATCAAACAAAAATGGAGGAAATCAGGAAACTATCAAAGGAAAATTTTTCCAGAAAGGATATAATTAATTATTGTTTTGATAGGCTAGTTGAGGTGCCCAATATCTTTTCATGTCCAAATAATTTTTTCTATAGTTATTTTTAATATATAAATGGTTACGATTCATGTTAATCTTCATTTAAAATCAATTGGGGTTTGAGAAATCACATAGAATCATAAAATGTCCCGTAACAAAGCATAAAATCAATTAAGTGAAAAGAGTGATGACTCAAACACAAATAGTAACCTTTGCTAGCCAAATAATCTACATACATGTTAACATTTTATGAGATATAAAAATTTATCCAATCTCGATCACTCGAAAAGCTTTTATAAAATACAAGTAGGTCAAACCAAAAATTCTATGAACATAACCCATTGGACTTCACTTCTACTGGCAGTTACCTTCAACCTGTCTTTCAGTTAACAATAAGCAGCTTTTGTCGAATAATTGCCAAAAATAATTTTGTTTAAGCTGATGATATTATATTGGGTTTAAGATTTGAACCCTCTCCTTGGCTGACCAATTAAGTAGAACATGAAAGAAACTATTTTTCATAATATTTTAAATTATCGAGGATCGTGATAATGAACATTACTCAACCTCGATTCTTCACTTCTCATAGTTACTTAATTAATGCAACAAATATGCAAATAATTCAACTTGGAATTCACAGTTGCGAGCCTCGACTTCACAATGCATGATTGTCTACTATTGCCTCTTCCTGGTCGTTGGGTAGTGGGAATGAGTTCTGAATTAATATTATTAGACGGACTTACTCATGTTTCGATCGAATTGCCACTATTGGAAATTCCTACTGTTGTCCCCCAGTTATGATAATTATAATGACTTGGAAATTGTGACTTGTTATAACAGATTTTCTAGGTATTGTTTGCAGAAGGCAATGGTTATGAAGTTTAATATTTACCTTAGGTACTAGTAGCTGTAGCTGTGGATTGAGATAAATAAGTGTCAAGTAATTGAGATCTAGTTTATGTTCAAAATTTGGATACTAATACAATGCCTTGTGGTGAACTCGATCCGAGTTATCATGTTTAGATTCTACTATTGGGTTGATACCTCCGATTCACCGAATTTGAATGAGAAAACACCATTTGGTCTATATTGACGGATTTTGATCCATGAGTTTGGACATATTGTTTTATCAAAAAATTGTTCTGTGAAAGTTACACATTTTATTTTCTTTTTAATGCTTCTATATAAAAGTACGGGATCACGAAATTTTGTTTTTGTAACTTGTTAGGAGACAATTTGACCACGATAACACACCAAGTAAATATTAAGAGTTCTTTAATGATTGTATATATGAGTGTTGTTACTGTTTTTCATCCATCGAACAATTTCAGCTTATCTAGTAATATGATTAAATTTGTTTTAGCATGCTAAATGTAATATTTTCCTAGACTATATGATATTTTTATCATAATCAAGTCGTCATCAGCCAACAGGAATGACTAGCCATCAATCACAAATCCATGAAGCAAAACTGAAGAGATTGATCTAGTGGTAGTGTGGGTAATGAGCACATCCACCCTACACTCATTTCCAACATGGATCAACAACCAAACAAACCTAAAGTCCTAAACATATTGCACACAATACAATAAATTACCTAATTGAGAGGAGTTGTTCTTGTCGACCCACAAGCCCTCTTTCTAAAATTTAAAATTGGGCTATAGTCTATAGATCACCCAGCAGAAGAAGAGTAAGCATTAACCGGATGAGTTAAGTAAACGGCCCAATGGGCTGTTCCCGTCCTTGGCCCAACCATCTCTCCTCCCCTAGTCCCTATCCCTAAGGGGATTCTTTAGGATCCTCTCAAATGGTTCGGCCATTAATTAATTAATAATAAAAAGCAGAGACTGATTATACTATGGGGGCCCGAAGTACTAATGAACGGGCTTAGTATTGGAAAGAAATGATCATACAAGACAACAACGCATATACTTTGTAGTTTCTAAAGTCCGAAAAAGTTAAACCGCTCACAGGTCAATTTGTGAGTAGATACTCACTGACCCATGAGCCAAGAGGAGAGAGAAAAAGGCCACTTTTTGGGTGAGCCGAGAATTTGGGCGGAGGAAGTGGGCGGGTTTTGGGCGGCCCGAAATTTTGGGCGGGAGGTGGGCAGCTTTTTGGGTGGCCCGAATTTTTGGGCGGGAAGTTGGAAAAGGAAGGAATAATTTGGGTCTGGTGGGGGCGGCCCGAAATTTTGGGCGGGAAGTTGAATATGAAGGAACAATTAGGGTTTGGTGGCTTGCAGCCTAGTAAGGGCTGCCCGCCGAGGGCCCATGGGCCGAAGGCTCATAAAACAATTTTTTGGGCCGATATTGACATGACCTGATAGGATATGTTTTTGTAAAAGGACGAATATTAGTATGACATTATGAGATACTAGTCTGGGTTTTACAGATATTTGTTGACATGTGTTGGCATAATATCAATTCCTAATTCCCTTAAGTTTTTTTTTACACTCGTTCAGTTATGCATTGACATTAATAGTTGTCTTGTGCAGGGATGTTTGTAGGTTTTCGTCGTCGATGGTGTAAAACAATTTTTTGGGCCGATATTGACATGACCTGATAGGATATGTTTTTGTAAAAGGACGAATATTGGTATGACATTATGAGATACTAGTCTGGGTTTTACAGATATTTGTTGACATGTGTTGGCATAATATCAATTCCTAATTCCCTTAAGTTTTTTTTTACACTCGTTCAGTTATGCATTGTCATTAATAGGTGTCTTGTGCACGGATGTTTGTAGGTTTTCGTCGTCGATGGTGTTCCTTATGGTTGAGAGATCAATTCGCAGTCGGGATGTTGACTACGCAAGTCAGCGAGTCGTGCAATGCACAAGTGCGACTTTTATTGAAAATGATTTGGACTTGTTTTTCATTCACTTTAGCAGGTACGCAGAATATTTATTTGCCTTTCTTTGATATTAGTCTACTTAAATTTTGGATATTTGTCAGCGTTGTCCGGATATTTATATGCTATTGTTAAATATTACTTTGTTTAGTTGAGATATTAATATTGGTTTGAGTGGATATTAGTCTGGGCACTAAACTCTTTCTCGTGCTTTGTAAATGTAGTTTGTTGGCTGAAAAAAGACGCAAGGAGACTGAGTCAGACTACAATGGGAAACAATCGGTTCCTTATATTATGATGGAGGATAGCCCGTTCCTACAACATGCGGCAAAGGTCTTTACTCCTAACATCTTCAATCGGATACAAAATCAGTATTTGAAAACTGAACCCTATCTAAAGGTCTTTACTCCTTGTGCACGTACTTGCGCTGCGACTTCAGCATCTTCTTCTTCCTCATCCTCCTCTGGCTGTGGCGGTGGTGACGGCGGTGGATTTCGTCGATGTCTCTTCACGTTCGTTTTATCCCTGCACGTACAAATATCTAGATATATCAAACAATTATCCAAGCAATTCACAACAGATATCATGCAGGTTAAAAACCAATATCCAGATATATCAAACAATTATCCAGGGAAATCACAACTGATATCATGCTGACCAAAAACCAATATCCAGATATATCAAACAATTATCCAAGCAATTCACAACAGATATCATGCTGGTTAAAAACCAATATCCAGATATATCAAACAATTATCCAGGGAAATCACAACTGATATCATGCTGACCAAAAACCAATATCCAGATATATCAAACAATTATCCAAGCAATTCACAACAGATATCATGCTGGTTAAAAACCAATATCCAGATATATCAAACAATTATCCAGGGAAATCACAACTGATATCATGCTGGTTAAAAACCAATATCCAGATATATCAAACAATTCTCCAGGGAAATCACAACTGATATCATGCTGACCAAAAACCAATATCCAGATATATCAAACAATTATCCAGGCAAGTCACAACTGATCAGTCACAAATGATATCATGCTAATCAAAAACCAATATTCAGATATATCAAACAATTATCCAGGCAAGTTACAAATGATATCATGCTGATAAAAACCAATATCCAGATATATCAAACAATTATCCAGGCAAGTCAGAACTCATATCATGTTGATTAAAAACCAATATCCAGATATATCAAACAATTATCCAGGCAAGTCAGAACTCATATCATGCTGAGTAAAAACCAATATCCAGATATATCAAAGAAACAATCCAAGCAAAATACAATGGATATCCATAATCAAAATAAATAATATCGGAACGCACACAAAACAGATTATAACATGTATAAGAGATTTAGAGTGCACCATTGATAAATCTCTGCACATACAAATACCCAGATCCTATCAAACAACTATCCAAGAAAGTCATAACTGATATCATGCTCAAACAAAACCAATATCAAGATACATTAAACAACAACCCAGGCAATAAACAACGGATATCCAGAAGGAACAGAATGCATATCTTGCCGAACAGAACTAATATCGGAAGGAACACAAAGCAAATCCACAAAACCCAGAAATAACACCCACAGAAGAACGAACTCATAATGGAAAACCCGATCGTAGCCATGAAACCCTAACTCAAATATGTCCAAACGAAAATAAATATCCATGAAGACAAATCCACAAAAGGAAAACCCAGATCAAGTCGTAGCCATGAAACCCTAACTCAAATTTGTCGAAGAGAAAATGAATATCCATGAACAAAGACAGTTACCTTAGTCCAAATCCCGCCCAAATCCCGCCCTTCGTCGCCGCCGAAATCCCGCTTCGGTCGCCGCCGGTTCGCTCGCCGCCGCAGGAACTCGCCGCCGCTTAGCTCGCCGCACCACTCGCCGCCGCTTAGCTCGCCGCACCACTCGCCGCCGCTTCGCTCGCTCGCCGCCGCACCGCTGGTCACTCGCCGCCGCTAAATATTTGTTCTTCGTCGGTTTCGTGAGAGGAGAGGGGAAGTGAGAGAGAGGGGAAGTCGAAGTGGGGGAGAGGCAACAGAGAGGGGAAGTCGAAGTGGGGGAGAGAGGGGAATTGGGGGTTTGATTTTTGAATTGTGGGCCCGGCGGGCTTGGTCAGCCATGGGCTCGACCAGCCGACCCAAACCGGCTCACCTTCCTCTACCCAAATCAAGAGCCAGCTTACCCTTGCCCACATGGACAACAAATCCACCGTGTGAGTATCTACTCACACTTTGGCCTGTGAGCAGCATAACTACATTGCTAAAGTCAGGGTTGGACTTGGATCCGTATCTGTGGAATCTGAATCTCTAACTAGCCAGCCCAGCCTTTAGGTGGGAAATACCGACAACTTGAAGAAAAACGCTCATTGGCCATCAAAACTGGAAATTGCCCATTATTGGTCTTTGTTGTTGGGGGAGCCCAAATGAATTACTGATTTTGGATCTGCACGCCAATATTTCGTGCTTGGAAAAATATGGTCACTGCCCTCGCCTATTCCTAGACCGTAGACGAGTTTTAAATAATAGCATACATTATTACATTCAACTTTATAACATTTTGAATTTGGAGTTTACAAGTTCGAATTATTTAAATAACAGGTAACTCTAAAAACAAATTTATATCACTCTTATCTCGGGGAAAAAATATACACATATATATGATATATGGTTTAGGTTCCAATACAAACTCATCCTATGCAGTTGTACTCCTACATAACCAAATTTGATTGTTGTAATTAGGAAGGCAGAGGCTAGGGTGCTAACACTAAATTTGTTAGCGTGATGCTAGCACCAGTACCAGTCAATAGAAACATTTTGTCTTAATTAATTTCTTATTCCAAGTGGTTGAACACAACTAATGCGCATTTATAAAAGGAGGGATACACTTATCATTATAAAAATTGGTGATGGGGGAACACACGTGCTTGTTGTGCATTAATTGGGAGGACCACACAAAACGCAAGCCAGAAAAACAACAAACCACAACACAAATATCATAAACCATACAATAAAGCTTATAAAATATACCACAATCTCACCACATCACAAATTCATAAAGCATATCAGAACTAGGGATGGCAATCAAATCCATGCCCACGGGTATCCGATCGCCCCCGAACCAGTCAACACAGGGAATCCCCGCATTGACTGGGTATGGGGCGGAAAACGCGCAAAAAGTTTGATGGGTGTGGGGCGGATATGGTTTTAGCCTCCCTCGCCCCATACCCATACCCGCCCCACCAAAAATATTCTTCATACATGAAAAATATGTGAATCAATTTATAACCTATCAATAATAGTGAGTATAACTCCAGAAAAATATATAGTAGGAATGCAATTGAGTGGCCACCCAAATCAAAATCTAATTTCTTTCTCTCAATTTTCCCTTCACTCTTTCACTTTTTCCCCTTGTTAAGAAGATTATGTTAGTTAATTTTTACTTAATAGATGTATCAGAGTAGAGAATAATGATTTGGATGACATTGCATGTACTCTACTCTGATATGGATCAATGGGTGCTTTAGGATAAGATGCTTTGAATCGTATTAAAAATGATTGTCTCTTTGTCGACTTCATGATATACTAGGTGCGTTTAATGTTATAATTGAAAATCTACATGTAAAATATTCGGTATTATAATACTGGATGTATGGCGCGGGTATTACCCATGGGTACCTGAAACCATGGGTATGAGGATGGGTTTGCAAAACCTTCCCCGCATGGATATGGGGCGGGTATGGGTATAGATATTTGAAAGCGGGGATGGAGATGGTTTAGGCAAACCCGCCCCATTGCCATCCCTAATCAGAACCTCACTACACCACCAAATTCATAAATCACACCACAAATAGCACGTTTGGAACCTCCGGTTTCAGATGTTGTATTCTCAGTATACATGTATCCTGAGAATACAACATTTTTTACTTGATGTAATAACAGAATGCATGTATTCATAATCCATGTTGTATTCCTAATACATAGAAAATGATGTATTCATAATCTTACATTTTTTGTGAGATTTTAGTATCCATAGTTCATTTAAACTATAATCTATGCATTCTTGTATGGGTTCCATACAATGAATTTTCAAACCGCACATTCTTAGTATACACATAATCTTTAATACACACATTCTCGTAATACATCATTTCCAGAATCAAAGATTCCAAACGACCCCAAAGTTTATCAAACATACGCCAAGTTTCTCAAGCACACCACAAGTTTTCTAAAGCATGCAAAAAATCTCAAAAAATATACCACAAATTCATTAAATCATAACACAAGTTCATTAAAGTAGAGCACAAGTATATTAAAAAACATAACAAGTTTCTTAAAGCAGACCACAAGTTTCATGAACACATACAAGAAACTAGGGCTGTCAATTCGGTTTCCGGTTAGCGGTTAACCGGCCGGTTCAACCGTTAACCGCCGGTTAGCGGCTAACCGGAAACCGAAATTTATATTCACCGGTCGGTTGTCGGAAACATAACAGGGTTAGCCGGTTAGCCGAGTAACCGAAGCCGGTTAACCGGCTAACCGACGCTAACCGACCGACGATACGACGTCGTTTTGGCTAAGCGTAAAAACGACCAAACCCTAGGCCCTCTTCGTCTTCGCGACTTCGCCTCTTCGGCCAGCAGCCTCCATCCTCTTCGGTCTAACCCTCTTCGTCTTCGCCTCTTCGCTCAGCCGCTACTCCTTCTCCCTCACGACCGGCGACCCCCAGCCCTCCGACCCCCCGCCGCCTCCACCTCGACGTCGCCCTGCCCTCCGACCCCCAGCCCTCCGTCCCTCACGACGAGTCACGACCACCGCCTCCACCTCGACGTCGCCCCGCCGCCCTCCTTCTCATCGCCCCGCCGCCCTCCAGAAGGAAGCAGCAATTTCAATCGCCAATTTTGAAGCAGCTCGTCCCCCTTTCCCCCTCCAGAATTATGTATGTCGAATGATTTTGGTGGATTGGTGATGATTTTGGTGGATTTATGTCGAATTGTCGATTGTCCAATGATTTTGGTGGATTGGAATGGTGGTTTTGGTGGTGTTTGGTGATGATGCTGCAAGGGGTTTTGTTTGAGCAGTTGGTCTTGTTGATTTACAGAATATGCTTTGACTAGAAATGGGTAGAGAGTAGAGGTTGAATGGTTGTTGAGTTGAGGAAAAGGAATGATTTGGAACTCCTAAGAAATTAAGTTGCCAAAAGAGTGGAAGAGGAATTACAACTTACAATTTTGCCTCCAGTGTTACTGCTTTCTTAGTTGATTGCTGTCAATATCGATTGATGAATGATGATGATTGATGATGATTGTTAGTTGTTAGATTGTTAGAATTTGTGAATTTAGTTTTCAATTTTAAATTTGTGTAACTGTTGATGTAGGGCGAGACCTCCAGCTCCACGTGGTGGACGTGGCGGACGAGGTGCACCATTCGCTGAGACTGCTTCTCGTGGTGGGAGACCTCCGGCTTCTCGAGGTCGTGGTGGTGCGGGTGCCTCAGCCCCTCCTACTCAGAATCGGGGTCGTGGTGGACGTACAGGAAGTCGGCCTGTTCAGTCTGGTGAACCGTCAGCGTCGGCATCAATTGCATCGACTCCCGCCCATGTCGGTAGTGGAAGTACACCTGCTGCTGAGGCTCCTTCAGCAGAAACGGTTAATCCGGCCCCAAATAAAGCTTCTTTAGATCCCTTCAATCTAGGGAAATGGTTGGAGACAGAAGGTACAGCTGATTGCTGGAAGGACTTTATGAAGGTGGCGGTGGATGAGTATTTGTTTGGAGAGTGCAAGCATTGTCACACTAAGATCAAAGCACATCCATCCAGGAACGGCACTTCTGCAATGAATAACCATCGGAGGACATGTTTGGCTAAGGTTGCAGCATCCAAGGATCAGACTGTTATGAACTTGCAGGCCGGAGATGGTAGTCAAGTAAGTGCTTTATGGAAATTTGATCAAGCAAAAGCAAGATATGCATTAGCCATGATGATTATAATGGATGAGTTGTCTTTTCGCTTTGTGGAAAGAGACGAGTTTAAGCAGTTTATGCATACGGTTCAGCCACTGTTTAAGATACCTAAGAGGAGAGGTATAAGAGATGATTGCTTTCATATATTCTTGGAGAAAAAGATGAATTTGATAGAGTTTTTTGAATCAAAGAGCAAAGGCAGAGTTTCAATCACCACAGATACGTGGACTTCTGACAACAACAAAAATTACATGTGTGTGACTGCTCACTTTGTTGGAGGTGATTGGAAATTGCAGAAGAAGGTGATCTCCTTTGTTCCCATCACAAGTCATACAGGAAATGATATTGCAGAGAAGCTTGCAGAAATTCTTGAAGAATGGAAGGTGAAGAATTTGTTCTGCATGACAATGGACAATGCATCTACAAATGATATTGTGAGTGATTGCATGAGAAGGAAATTAAAGACGTGGGGGTGTGATTTGATGGATGGGAAGTATCTGCAGTTTCGATGTGTCGCACACATCATTAATCTGGTAGTGCAGGATGGATTGAAAGTAATCGGAGGAGCTGTGGATAGAATTCGGGACTGTGTGAAGTGGGTGAGGTCATCGCCAGCTAGGTTGGCAAGGTTCAAGACTGCTATGCAATTTCTGGAGTTGGATTCTACCAAATTGGTGTGTTTGGATGTACCGACCAGGTGGAACTCCACCTATATCATGTTAGAAGCAGCAGAGAGGTTTGGTGGAGTGTTTACCACTTTGTATACAAGTATACATGACCATTCCTTCAGGGATTATATTGACGCAAGAGGTGGTCTTCCAACTGAACATGATTGGAGTCTGATTAGAAAGTTGATGAAGTATCTGAAGGTCTTTAATGACTTTACCCTCCTAGTCTCGGGTAAGTGAAATTTGACAATTTTTTTTATTTTAATTTGAACATTTGTCAATTTTGATTTGTTTAAGTCTAATTTCCTGTATTCTATTCTCATTTGTACAGGAACTAAATATGTGACTACCCATCTTTTCTTCAAGAAACTTGTTCCAATTTATGACATCATTCAAGAATTGAAGAATGATCCGCATGAAGAGCTCAAAAGGATGGCAGAAAAGGTTGAAGAAAAGGTACGAAAGTATTGGTTTGACACACCTGTCATGAATGAGGAGAATCCTCGGGTTAATCATTTAATCTATATAGCGTGTGTGCTTGATCCTAGAAGTAAACTTGATCTTGTGTCTGAAGTGTTGGTAATGATTTATGGAAGTCTCAAAGGAGGGGAAATTCAGACTAGGATTAAAAGGGAGATGCGGCAGATGTTTGAGATTTATAAGAGGAAGTATGGATCAGAGTTAGCATCTGAGCCTACCACTGATGATAACATTGTTGATGAGGGTTGTGTTGATGGTGCTGGTGATCGGATTAAGATATTGGAGGAGAGGCTTAGAAAGAGAAAATGGGAAGCACTTCTGCTGGAAACAGGAGGTAGCTCTACTGAGCTTGACATCTATTTGAAATGTCAAACCGATGGTATCAATGAAGAGAGTGATGATGCAAAGTTTGACATTTTGGATTGGTGGTCTCGACACTCTGGAATCTATCCGATTGTTGCTGAGATGGCTAAGGATGTCCTAGCTGTTCCTATCTCTTCTGTTGCCTCAGAGGCAACATTCAGTTGTGGCGGGCGGATTCTCAGTCCATTCAGGTCCTCTTTGAGCGACCTAATGGTGGAGGCATTGATTTGTGCCGAGGATTGGATAAGGTATCCCGGATCCAGGGAGATTGACGACAAGGAAGATGATGAAGATAATTTGACTTTGGAAAGTAGTGAGTTTCTCAAACTCTCTTATTGTTCAGTTTTTTTGTCTTCTTTTCACCTAATTCAATGTACTAACACTTTGTTTTCCTTTTTTTTCTTACTCAGTTAATGTCACTTTCCAAACTAGAATGGAAAGTGCAACGAATACTGGCAATGTTGGCAATACAGATGCAAGCCTCAACATTCCAGTGGAGAATGAGTAGGAGGGTGAAGAAGATGCACCGGAGGAAGAGTATGAGAAAGATGGATATGACGATTATGGTCATGACTGAGGGCCGTATTGAACGAACAAGGTTATGCAGATGTTGGTTCTTCTAAGGCCGGTGATAAGTGATGATAGATTGTTTATGATGTGTTGTTGATTTGTTGTTATCTAGAGGACTTATTGTGATTTGTGGAGTTTATGTTGTTGAATTAATGAATATGAGACATTAAGTTGCTAATTTAGATGTATTTTTGGTGCAAAACGAATTGAAATGTAGGTTTGAGATTTTAATTTTAGGCCATTTTAGGTTTTTTCCCTTGCTGTCCGGTCGGTTTTGACCGGTTTAGGGTAGGTTTTCGGTCTTGGAGGTCGGTTTTAGGTTTTGGCTGTCGGTTCGTGTAGGTCGACCGGTCGGTTTTTTGGCGGTCTTCGATCGGTTAGGCCAGCAGACCGAACCGCCCTTCCCTTTTTCGGTGTTGCAGGTTTAACCGTGCCTTAACCGAAACCGCCCAGTCGGTTTACGGATAACCGAGGTGCCAGGGTCGGTCGGTGGCCGGTGGTAACAGGTCAGGTCTCAGTTTAACCAAAAACCGAGAATTCGATTTTCGGTTAAACTGAAACCGACCGGGTGACAGCCCTACAAAAAACCTTATAAAACATACCACAAGTTTCTTAAAGTAGAGTAGAAACCTCATAAAATAGATCACAAGTTTTTTAAAGCATATCACAAGTTTCTTGAAACAGACTAGAAATCTTATAAAACGTACCAGAAACCTCATTAAATACCACACGTTTATTAAAAACATACCACAAGTTTGTTAAAGTATACCATAGAGCTCATAAATAATACCACAAGCTTCTTAAATAAACCAAACAAGAAACCTAATAAACTTGGATATATTTGTAAATTTTAAAAAGTTAAGGAATCAAAATGTACTATATACAATTTTTAGGTACTAAAATGTAATTTTTTATCTATATTTAATTATTTATAGGGCTTATACTTGATTAAGTTTATGTACCAAACTATAATTTTTCTATGAAACTCAAATCAAAGAGACAAAGGGAGGAAGTGGGTTGCTCCTATGAGTGCCTAGTTACTATAATATCAATAATGAATTATGTCATCATGGTGCTAATAGTAGAGGATGTTAGCAACCTATTCGATTACAATTATTGAAGTAATATTTGCTTGGACACAACATAAAAGAGGTAAAGAGGAAAAATAGAGCTTTATGGGACAGTTGGACAAATTTTTGGGGCTGATACAAATTCCCAGACACACAATCAAAGCAATTTGTAAAACTCTCTTACAAAATATTAACGAAACCCATCTCATTCATTTTACATAGAATTTTAAAGATAATTTTATAAAAAAATGAGGTGCTTGATGCTCTATCAGATCATATCTGTTTTGATATGTTCTTAAGCAAAATTTAATGGAAAATCATACATCTTAATTTTGTAGGATTTTGTACCTATCCCATATGTACGTCCAATCAGGGGCGGAGCCAGGATTTCGAAACCGGGGGGCCGAAAATAATTAAAAAAATTTATGTAACCAATGTGAATCGAACCCGTGTGCTATAATACACTAGTTAAGCTTCACTACCATTAGGCCACATAACTATTTGATGACATAATTTATAGAACATGTTCTACTTCTAAAATTTGTACGAAATATCCTTAAGAACCTAGGGGCCGGGATCAATCCCGGGGTGGCCGGGGCCCACCCTAGCTACAATGTAGCTCCGCCCCTGCGTCCAATTAAAAGTCCAGGGTAACTAGTTGGGATTCACGGGTATTTTGTCTGGTGGTACTAGCAGCAATTAATTAACAGAGCGGGATTATTATTTCAATGCTCATTAGGGATCTTGTAATTAAGGATGTAAAATAAGTACTTGGCTAGTTGGGATTCACGGGTGTACTTAAGCAAATAAGGCCAGATTAGTTTAGTCAAAATGTCAAATATGGTAATGATCAAACCCAATGAACGACATGACAAAAGTACAGCAGTAAGTGCTGATTAGTTTTGTGGTCACTGCCAGCTACAGACGAACGCCAGCTTCCACACATTCACATGATGACACAAGCAGCTGACATTTACGATGAAGAAGATGCCCCAACCCATTCCTCAAAGTTCGGTTTTTTATATCACCCACGGTTTTGTGTTCTCATTCTACTCGAAATATGTCACTAGCTAACAAGTTTTATGGGGTTTGAATAGTTGGAGTTACTGGCAAAGTTTTGAAATAAATTTTATATCATCTTTGTACTTAAGGTCTAGTCACCACTAAGTTTAAAGTTCGCGCGGACTAAAATGCATATTTTGCATTGAAATCTATTACTGAGATTACTTGAGCAAAAATGCACGTACTTATTAGCAATCAAATTAAGGGCTATACTATCATGTACCTATAATCTTTTAAATATTTTGGGATGTTGTGTGAGGTCCGAAACATGGGCTTATTCGATCAATTCCTTACACCCTTGTGAACACGAATCCAACAAGTGGATTTGGACTAAATTACTCAAGGCATGACAAAGCTCTGATATCACTAAAATTGAAATTTTATGGTAGTTCAAATTATTTAGCATTATCTATCAAAACAATTCCAAATTATTTAGCCTATGTTTTTTTTTTTTTTTTGACAAGGCATATGGTATTACCATTCCGCTAAATACCCTACTTTTTCGTAGCAAATGAAACTTTAAAGAAGCAAACAGCACATTGGTTAAGTTTCATAATATTTGTAGGTCATTTCTTCCGTTTTTGTTCTACACCTTTAGTGTAGGTGGTGTACTCCTTTTCTTATTCTTTTAATAGCATTAACATTTATTCAAGGAAAAAAAAGTTAAATGACATTTGTTATCTATGATAAAGGCCAATATATTTTTAGTGTTCAAATTCATTATCTAGGTACGTAGTTAATAATTAATAGGATCCTAAAATTACTTTGCAGTCTTGGTCCTTTTAAGTTATCAACATCTACCACGAACTGACATAAACATACTTTACAATCAGGAGGTACGTAGTATTGTTGTGATTTGTGACTCTGTGAGTGTTCGTAACCTCTAACACAATTATTCAAATATTTAATAATCCAAGTCCATAATAATTGTAGCGCATTGAACTTAAAATGTTATGACATAAGAATGATAATATCCAAACGTACTTATAAATTATAGTCTTTTAGATTAATATTATTGAAAAATATGTATACAGAATGCATAAATCACGGTAATCCGATTTGGTGCTAGTATAATCACGGGGAGTGGATGCTACATATCGAGGGATAACATCTGATGAAATCCGACTCTTCTCTTATCATTACCATTGAGAAAATATCAATCATACACTTAATTAAGGATACAAATCAACAACCACACACAAACAAAACAGAACACTGTCCACGCCACTTCACAGTCATACAAAAACAAACGGAAAATAGGAAACAAAACGTGCAACATACAAGGCAAACTAAATGGACAACAACAACAACACCAAATTGATCAGTTTCATGCGTGGTTCAACAGTTGCTAGCTAGCTAGCTTTAACCAACAGGATCATCTAGCACTGGAAGCCAGGGGGCACGGTGTTGCCGCAGACATTAAGGAGCAAGCTGAGGGAGATGGGGATGTTGAGGTTGATCCCCAAGATGTTGGCCTTAATCGCCGTGCAGAGGCAAAGCGCAGCCTCCAGATCCACCAGCCCATCCAGTAGGCTGCAGCAGGGCTTCACCGGCGGCGCACCCACCGTGACGTTGACCAAGTTGAGCACGTGGGCGCACACCCCCAGCTTCAGGGTGTCCCTGGGGCACTTCCCGGTGGCCGGGCTCGGGCCGGGCTTTGGGTTGGGCTTGGGGACAGGTGGGCAGCTGCCGCACCATGCGGTGGCCGACGTGAAGAGCAGCAGGTTGAGGGTTAGGAGAATGGCAATGGTTTTGGTTGCGGCCATTTTTGGGGAGCTGAGCTGTGGGATGGAGAAATCAGTGTGGGGTTTGTAAGTATGTAGCAGTGAAGATCGAGGGAGGGTGAAGTACTGTTGGTCAGTGCTGTAATGTGGAGATTTTATAGTGGTTTTGGTGGGGAAGAGGTGAGGAAGTAGTGGGTTAAATATCATTTTACTCCCTACTAGATGACAGGGTTTGTGACTTAAGTCATCTTTGTACAATGTTTATCTTATTAGTCCAAGTTTGTTATTGATGAGATCGATCGGTCCTTTGTAACAGTTAAGTATTTGTTTCGCGACCAGCTCAAATGCTAGGTATATATGTTGAAATTCTGTTTTTTTTTTTTTTATAATTAGGGACCATGGCATCTGTCAAAACTAAGGTAAATCCAGATCATTGTGATGATAAGTGAATAAAGACATGCAGTCTGACCAACACCTCTTAGATGATAGTCTATACAACAATGATAGTGAAATTAACTTTCAACAGGAAACCTTCGTGTCTTAAACCATAATTTTACTATCAGGTCATCCCATCTATGATGGGATGAAACTCTGTCACCTTTGCCTCTCGATTCACCCACATTATTAAGTTTCGTGGAATGGATGTGTTTATCGAGATATAACAGTGGGTCCCAACCACCGAAGCAATTATCATACATCAAAGAATGAATCGTATATGTTTCATGCATGTTAGTAAAACTTTGTACTTGAAAAAAAAAAAAGAATTTCGTGTGGTGAAATATAAATTTGTAGTATATGTACATTGTTAAAATAAGCGCTATTATCATCAGCCAGGTGCAGATTTCACTAGGGCATGTTTGTGTTTGCTAAAATCCATAGTATGTCATCAACTTGTTAAAACTACATATTCTATGGAGTATTATGCTATCTATATACGTACTAGCGTGGGCCCCGGCAATTTGTCCGGAGGAAGATGAGGTATGAAATTTGATAATAGCTTAGTTTGGCCCTGCTGTAGCTTTTGCAGAAGCAGCTTCTAGCTGTAGCTTTTAGATAAGTACTTTTCAAAAAAAGCAGTTTAGTGTTTGGCTGTAAAACTATTAGAAGTGCTTTTTAATATGAGCGGTTGTGTAAAATTACTATAAAGGACTTATAATATAAAATATAAATAAAAATTCTAAACAATAAAAAGTAGTCAAAATGGATCTTGTTAGATTTCTTTTATATTAAATAATATGATTTTATAATTTATTTTATTTTTAAAATGATATAAATGAAGAAAAATTATATTTTCTGAAATAAAATTAAAATATGGTAAGGATAATCTTGTATTTTCAAAAAAGCTTTTCGCAGAAGCTCCAAATCGGAGCTTCTGCTTTTATGTTATACAAAAGCGCTTTTCGGCTTTTCAAAAGCCGACTTTTTAGAGGTGTTTGGCCCTGCTTCAACTTTTGAAACCGAAAAGCACTTCTAAAAGCCGGGCCAAACATAGGCAATGTAATGGAGTGTATAGCTTATTGTTGTATACTTTTTTTTTTGGGAAACACGTGATAAAAATAGTGAATTTTAGTAGGAAAGAGACATGAATGATGCAACGAATCAAAAATCAGCTTTATGAACCAAAATCAAGTACCTGTTACCTTGTGAAACAATATTGTTTCTGGTAATATGATGAGGTGGAGTAAGTTTTATAGAAACCGAATTCCAGAAAATCGAATAAAAAATCGCCTATCCCGCCGGTTTTCGGGAAATGAGCATCTCACAATCGTTGCTAGCTTTTACTCGGCCCGTTGGCCGATTAATTTGTTTTATAAAACTTTCATCTTGTCATCATTGTGCTTTCTGGTTTTTTGCCAAGCCATGATAAAATCTAAAGAAATAAAGAATGAACAACACGATTTAGGATAGGAACCACCGTTCCTATATCCCTAGAAAATGGTGGTAAACACGGACTCACCTTCCAAACTGGTTTGTATTGAGATTTTTATCGGGTATCAGGGAACCATGTGATTATAAATTAGACTTGATCAAAACAGGCCAAAACTTGAAATTCAGCATGTTTGACCGACCCATGCCAACCTCTAATTATTCTTTACTTTTAAACTTTCTATTTGAAAATAAAAAATAATGAAAAAAGAGATGACTGCAATTCGCCATTTGCACATCACTGATTCGGGAATAAAGCTATAGAATTTCGAAAGGAAACTGAAAATGTTTAGAATCGTTTTAATGAAATTAATGTTAAAAATAACCAAATAGATCTTTCTGTTTAGTTTTTTACTAACAAATATCAAACGATTCCCTATAATATACACTATAATTTAATCATTATGATATCAAATAATTGCATAATATATATTTGAAATGATACAAATTGAACTAATTGGGTTGGTCGAGGTTCATTGAATAACTTTAAAATACATTATATTTTAGCCACTAAGATATAAAATAATAGCATAATATATATTATGCTAGAGAAAATAGCTTGTTTTAGAATGGCAAACCCATGATGTTTATTTGTATTACTTGATTGGCAAATCCCGTGTAGGTCAGACCTATTCAACTCTTTTATTTATGATTAGCGGTTAGCCCATTAGAATCCATGCATTAGTTTATTGTTAAATTTTTTTCTTTTTAGCAATAAAAAGGAGTATTGTTTTTGCCTTTTTCATATATATTTTACCACCACGGAGAAATAAAAGGACTTAAAGAACAAAATTGACACTCCCGGACCCGTTTAAATCCGCTTGTGTACGGTAAGTTGGCCCGTTCCACAGAGAAAAAAGGAAAAAATTGACACTCCCTATTCTACCCTTCCTGCAAACGCTCCTGGAGCAGGGAATTTGAAATAGGGGAAGGGTTTTTTCCTCACTACGATTATATATTTTCAATTTAAAAAGATACAACAAACGTGCTTAATGTGATTGGTTATGATCTTTGCTTTTCTTTGAAAGTGGACATGGTTCGAATCCTAGTAAGTGTGTTTTTAATGAATAGAAAAAGTAATTGTGAAGACCAAAATGCCCTTCCTACTTTTACTCTGGATGCAGGAAATTTGAAATGGGGCTTCAAGTTTTCTCATTTGATTTTTATTTATTGTGTAGATGTCAATAACGAAATATAATCTGGCCGAGTGATGTTACTGTAGCCACGTGATGAATTATTTTTACCATGGTTGATAAAGGCTGGAAACCATTTTATTTTAATCTCTAGGAATGACGTCAAACTGACAATGCAACTCGTGACTAACTATTTGTCTATTTCAATGCGGCTTCGTGACAGCTTTATATGACAATTTTATTTCTCATTATTGTCTGGTTCTGGTGTTTTAGGTTATGAGAAATATGGAGGGTAGGTGTCAAATTCTTAATTTATTCATCGTCTATCACCAAATTACCTCATACTAAAACTCGTTAGTTTTTTTCCATCCTAATAAATAATAATGAGTACTTTGAAAACAATATTTCAGGTTTTGAACCTTAACTAGATTATTGTATATATATTTGATATGAAAATAGACTAGATGTTGTCTAAAACAGGATATAATTTCTAACATTATAAAAAAGATATAATTTTTGAGTTTTTTTAGAATCATGGTAATTGAAAGAAAAAACTTAGTATTCTTGCTACCTAAGCCTCTACCGCAAGTATTGAAAAGACATTTGCAATGAGCCAAGTGAAAAACGCACTCTTCGGTATATAATGAGTGATAAAATCTTGAATGAAAATTTGGTAAGGTATATGGAGATTGATATCATATGAACGCATCTTATAAGTTTTTAAAATACGAGAATACATTGAGACACTGCAAATTATTTAATTTTTCTTAGGATATTAAAACATACCGACCCACCTTACATAAAATTCTGACTATACCGCTAATTAAGTGATATTCTTTCTTTAAAAAAGATTTAGATTCTCAATATGGTTTGGTTATTGACTAGCAATATCCATACTTGAATAAGAATGAATTATAAAATAAAAGAAACAATGAAAAATGATATAGTACTAAGTCAAAAAGGGAAAAACTTACAAAATCTCGTATATTATCATCCTTGATATATGAATCATACAATTCTAATACGATAATATTATGAGGTGATATGATTCGTATCAGATATGATAAGACACGTTACACTTGGATTTTGTACCATAGGCATAACCCAGACCATAAACAATCACATGGGCATGCGCCACGTGAAGTAAAGGATGGGCTTTTAATAGATTGGTAGACCTGCGGTGTTTCTGAATTTTATGGGGCTCGTATTTCTTGCTCCGGCAAGTTTAGGGCCTTTCCTTTTCACGAAAAAGAGTTGTTGGCCTTTCATTCAAAAAGCCCACCATTGTATTGCATAATAAACTAGCTTGTAGCCATCACCTTGCCTCGAATATTTAGCTCTGTAGTGTAGTTCAAATCAGAATTGTTTTAGCAAAATATGAGATTTGAGTTTTCTATTCATATCATATTAGTATAGTGAGAATCTTATGTGACTCATACGATTGCCGAATAATTTCTTTTTTTCTTTTCTTTCATTGTTAACTATGTATTTCTTTAGGCATGCAATTGATTAATACATGTGATTTGTATAAGGTCACGTTTACATCGAGATATTTACGCATGCCTTTTACTGTAGGTAAGGTCTGTATAAGTGGAATCTAGCCAAAACCATTATCCTCCACTAGCTAAGCCGAAGCGGCGGTCGACTTATACATGTGGTGGCCGCCATTTTATGCGCCTAAATTTTGGACTACTGGGTATTATCGTGATCATCCTCTCGTCTAGACTTTTCATGTACAACTTCAATTTTCTGCTACTGGCCACGTCTCTTATTTCTCAGTATTCCTTTTGTCAAAACAATGGAGCAATTATATACTTTTAAGGTATCTTTATTTTCTTTGGGAAAGCGTGTGGGACCTTGGACAATAAGGCTCATCCATTTTAGTGAGGAATTAGAGGCCATCTACTTAAGTAATTTTGAAAAACAAAGAGTCATAAGCTTATAACTTAGAGAATTATAGGATAAGTTGACCTGAAATTTCGAGTGATTTATATGTTGATATGACTTTAATCGGATTATTTATTGTTGACAGGAAGTTATGGTATACGAGCTTATACACGTGTGGATTTTTGTTCTGTGCCTTGTTTTTAACCTTATTTTTTACTATATATCTATGTCTTCTCTGAAATTGACTCTCATATTCGTAAAATAGCTGACAATATAGCTAAAATAGCTAAATATATAATTATTTTATTAAACCACGTAAATATTTTTTTTTACTTTCTTGCATTTCCAATTTCCTCAATAAGTTATAAGTTATAACATAACATAATCATCTTGTAATCATCTAGTTTTGTGTGTATATATGTTAATTGTTAAGGCCTGGATATTTATAACTATACAAAAGAGTGTCATCACAAAACTAGATCGTATTTAAAATGTTTTACCATTGGAGGAACTTCTAGAGAAGTCGCGTGCTCTACACATAGTAAGCTGGCAAGTGGCAATTAACTGCCATCTATACACAGTCATTCGCAAGTTAATATTTTCATCATTCGTCCGTGCCAAAATGTGCTTAGACGAGACGAGACACTCTGCTCAGCCATATGGGGTGTATTATATATTTGTCACCTTCACAATAAGAAAATATGGGAAAATATGGGGTGTGTTTATCTTACTTAAAAATTGACTTTGAAATATAAAAACAAACACACTACTTTTCTCGAACTCAATATAACTAATCACCGCAATTACTTATTATATGATTAGATCCCACAATTATTGAAAGATAAATGCCACCTCACTAAGTAAAATTTTATTTGCGACGCGAGTTCCTCCATTCCAAATAATGCTTGAAGATATAACTACGATGATTATTTCTCTTACTAGACTTGATCTTTTTTATTGAACGAATTATCTATCATATCATCAAATGGTTTATTGCTATTAAAAAAGAGAAAGTATATAGTACAGACTACAGAGGCTACTTATCTCTGTGTCTTAACCACTCTTGATATAAATTATACGACTTTGATACAAACACATCAAGAATAGCAAGACACAAATTTTATAGACTTTGTAAACATTGAATTTTGTAACATAACTCAGTCCTTATAGAAAAAACCTCGCATCATGTCTGTCATGAACCAGTTGCTCCCAATAACTCGAGTTGTTGGAAGAAGGTTATGCTAGATCTTATACCACTCTCTAACACGCCCCCTCAAACGAAAGCCAACCCATGGGCTTGAAGTTTGCACAGGTCCACCATACCATGTGCTTGAAAGACAACGGTTAATATTGGGGGTCGTGGAGATTCGAACACATGACCTTTTGGTTCTAGGCTCTGATACCATGACATAAACCAGTTGGTCCCAATAACTCGAGTTGTTGGAAGAAGGTTATGCTGGATCTTATACCACTCTCTAACAATGTCGACAACCCTCCCTTTATTTAACAAGAAGTAAAACAAACGTCCTTAGAATCTCATATAGCTAGTCTGCTTCACCAACTACGACACACAACAGTATATACATATTGCATTTTCGTAAAAGGATAATCAAAACCATGGACTTCTAAGTCTGTATGACGAGTGGTAGCATGCATCTTAATTAATTGTCTCTTTTGGAGATGATTCACAAGAGTGTGTACTTGTGGTTGTGGCCTGCGTCAAACCGCTGAAACCACTTTAACACCACTTGTACACAACCATGGTTAGGTTTTCAGATGAACTCAATGCATGATTATTTGGGGAATAGTAGTATCTATCTAGATAGATGACCCACGAAAGATCATTGAGATAGATCCAAGATTTGATGTTGACGACCATCAAACAAGTTGGCAAGCGGGATAATTATTAGTGATTTGGATCTCATAATTATACATATACTTGGAAAGCATAAAATCAAAGATGCATCGGCCACTATATGGTGTGAAACCAAGACTAAAAGATCCATAATTATTTCAGGTTGCTTGCTTTGGTGATCTCAATCCCCCTGTATTTTGTCCGGCGGAAGCGCGGATACATTTTGTTCTTTTCTCTCTGTCTTTTCCTTTTCGTTGTCCCGTTCCTCTTCAACGGAAATGTACGTAGCGGTGGAGGATAGAATAGAATCAATGGAGTTGTTAGGTTAATCAATAAGGTTGCAACCCGTGACTGTTTAATACACCAACTAACGTCCAGGCCACAACAAACCAACTGCTGCCTGGTACATGAGTTGATTGGAGATAGGGCTGACAGTTCGATCGGGCCGGGCTTTTTCAGTTACTCAAAACTGAACCGGTAAGCTTATTGGGTTGCCATTAATCGGGTCGGGTTGGGACCGAAACTTCCGTTAATGGTTTCGGTTTCAGACAAAATAGAAACCCGTTTTGTAATGGAAACTTAGAAATGCTACGGATGTGATTTATCTATATAATGTTGGGTTTGTTAGGATGTGAAATTGAGAGATTAGGATTGTAATAGACTCATGAATTATATTTTTTTTCGAACATGACATTTTCACCCTTCACAAAATCTTGGGTTACATGAAATTTCTTTAAGTGATAACTATCACCACTTTCTGTTCTAAACTTAAAAACGGTAAAGCAAACTTATACGAAAGAAGAATAATGAGAATATGCTTGATTGTGTGCGTTGCATATGCTAATAAGTGGTATATGATTAATAATTGAACATCTCTTAACAATTCGAGTTATTGCATTTGAGCCAATTGTTTCTTGGCATGGTATTAGAGTTTTCTTTGATTGAGATGTCTTCTGTTCGAATTCTGATTATCCCATTTGTTAAGCACATTGTATTCAAATCTGTGCAAACTTCAAGACCATGCATATATAAGGACTTTTGTTTGTGAGGTTGTATTAGTATGTGGTATATGATGATTCATACTTGAATCTTTCAATAAGTCGAGTTATTGAAACCTACTATCCGCATTATATATTATCCGTCCTACACATATATTTACAGGGCGGGCCGGGCTGATTGTATGCATTGCATGCCCTTATGCAATATAAATGATCCAAACAAGAGCAGGTGGGAACATGCATGGCAAGTTGTAATTTACATTACTAATTAGTCAGATCGACAAACTTCCAAAACTTGGCCCTGAAATTCTCCCTGCCCTTGTACAGTAAACCAAGCTAATGATCACAAGTCCACACATTATGATTTTATGCTCTTCCTAATATTATTCCCATTCAATTATTTCTCAATACCATCTACCTCAAACCAATTCCCCCAACACCCTTAGAGGGGCCTATAAAAACCCTGCCCATGGTTCTTTCCCAAACCACCAAAACCACTCTTCGAATTCTCTCTTCTTCACTTAGCTTAAGTAGTAAAGCAAGCTTTTTGCCTCTCATCAATGGCTTCCCAAACCAACGCCGCCATGGCCCTCTTCCTAGCCCTCAACCTTCTCTTCTTCTCCTTGGCTTCTGCCTGCAACAGCGGCTGCCCTACACCCAAACCAAAACCAAAGCCTAAGCCAACTCCCACCCCCAGCACCCCTTCCTCCGGCGGCGGCAAGTGCCCGATCGATGCACTCAAGTTGGGAGTCTGCGCCGACGTGCTAGGCAATCTGCTTAAGCTCAAGGTCGGCAACCCGCCGGTTCAACCTTGCTGCAGCTTGATCAATGGTCTCGTTGATCTTGAAGCCGCCGTCTGCCTTTGCACCGCCATTAAGGCCAACATCCTGGGGATCAATCTCAATATTCCCCTCTCTCTCAGCTTGCTTCTCAATGTCTGTAAGCAGAAGGTTCCATCTGGCTTCCAGTGCCCTTAAAGCAAGGAGTTACGTCGGTCCACACGGTGATGCATGCATGCACGAGTTGTACTTTTCTACTCCATTTTCGTTACGTTTTTATACTTTGGTGTCAGTCCAAATAATTATTGTGTATTCAAATGGTAACGTTTATGTTTGTTTCCATGCGCTATCTACAGACTGTTGTAGACCGATATATATATATATATATGTGTGGTTATCGGGTTTGATCTATGTACGAATAAATGACTTCATAGTGTGTACTCATAAGAATGTTTTTATGGGGAAATTAATGAAGGTGTTGTTGGATTTTGCTTTGTGTCTTAATTCATGCCTCTTTTTTTTTTTATCAATTTCCAGTAAAGCCGAGAAGGAAGAAGAATTTCCAATTTTTAACTTTATCAACATATTGATCTGTCACATTCTTCTCGAAATGGAAAATATCACAATAATTAAGTATTGCAATAAAAAAATTACGACATATCTTGGTGTTGAAATGAAATTGCTCCATCAGTACGATATTGTCTGTTTTGAGTTAAACTCACATGGATTCACTCTTGGGTTGCTTCCCAAGTGGCTTCATATTAATCGGATTTGGTGGACCCTAATATGCAACTATTACAAACATGTATTTTCGTTGTGGTACTTGGATTGTCCCACAACATTCCTGCCCCTAAGACAAGGACCACAAGTAATTACTTGTGATCCACCAAGGACCAGACAAACACAACTCTCAAATCTCGATGTCACAAAATGAGGGTCCATCATTCCAAATCCAAACTTCAAAACCAGACTTTGATACCACTTGCTGAGACCTGGCAACTCCATTAGTACAATATTTTATGCTTTGGGTCAACCCCGCATGGATTTTGAGTATCCTCAACAAAAGTTCTTTGTATTAATTGGGCTAGATGCACATTTATAAACAATGGTCTTTTCCTCTTGTATTTCTAATGTGGTACTTGTATTGTACAATAACAATACTTTTCTTCAAGACAAGAACCATGAATTTCGTGTCCTCACCTTGGTGATTATCTTGATTAGCCAAACACCCTGTATCGCTGACTTTGCTCTCCAATGATATGCCAGACAGATGCAGATCTCATTGAATCTTCCAAACAGGCGCAAATCTTCCTCAATCTGTTAGACAGACGTAGATCACCACTTGAACTGCCAAACAAACGCGAATTTCAAATCTCGGCCGAGTGAGGTCCACCAAATTGACGTCCACCGCCCTAGATACGAATTTCAAAACTTTATATAATTAGGATATATACTACCACAACACGGCTCAAGATAGAGTGCATAACCATGGATTATGCACCCATCAATAACTAAATCTGGACCTTTCATTTAGAAAATCCAGATCTAAGGTTAGAGAATTAAAGACCATTTTTATTTTTCTTAGCTTTCTTAATCGACTCATATCTTCTTCGTTTTAACTCGGATTTTAATTTTTTTTTTTTTTGCACAGATGGAACAAATTCGTTGTGCTCTACAAAATGAGATCCATTTTCAATATTTTTGAGAAAAAAATTATTGCCTCTCGGTACCAACTGCATACCATATGGTATATTCTTCGTTTTAAATTTGTTTTTGAAAACATTTGCACAGAAGGACCGAGTTCATCATGATCTATTGGATCTCCAAATTTCTGGGTGAACAAATTACAAGACCAAAAAATACCACACAATACCACCTTGGTACGAGGTGGTATCTTGTGGACTTGTGGTACACAATGTTAAAAGTCGTAAATGACAATTAATATACTTCTACTATCATGTATTCAACCATCATATAGTCTTGGTTTGTTAATACCACCATGGTACGCTTTTCAAACCATATGTATGCTCTTATTTCAATACCAGTCAATACTATATGGTATAGACTGGTAAAAAATGGCTCAATTTTTTTTGTTCGAAAAATATATCAAAGTGGATATTATTTTGAAGAGCACAATTAATTTGATCTAACTGTGCAAAAAAAATTAAATTTCAACTTAAAACGAGTGAGAAATCGTCCGTCAAAAATTAAGAATGCAATAAAATTAAAGGCTTTTCAGGAGAGAGACGTTAATGTCATGCTGATGTAGACAGGTTACTCACCATAAAGTTACTGACCTAATCCGTTCCTCACAACACCATTATACTAGAATACAGATGACACATATTCAAGATCGTTAGATGTGAATTAGCGATTGCCCCATTTTTAGAAGCCTTGTCGATGTTACTTTGAATAGTATCATGCTCATGCATTGTGGTTCAACTGTCCGATTCATAGAAAAACTCCAAACCGATAATTACGAGTTTTTCCCTATGAAAAAGATAACAATTACGTTTGAAGACCGGAAAAATGGTCGACGACAACTTGAGTATATAAGTGATATATACGTACGAACGATCAAGTTGACGAGTTGCCTCTCGGATCTGTCGAACTTTATATTTGCATATATATATATATATATATGGCAAAGGCTAGCGTACGTCCGGACGTACCCTAGCCTACCGTACGCCCGTTGAGTTTTTCTATTTAGACAATGAATTAACCGGAGTTTGGGGCATGATATTATACCCTAACCCCCAATGGGTGAACCCTAGTCTGCAATTCACTAACCCAAAGCATAATATTCATTTAATCTTGAAATGAAGAACAACGGTTCTGATTCGTCGAAATTATTGTTGATTTTCATTTTAAGATTAAACGAATCTCATGATTTGGGTTAGAAAACTAGGGACTGGGGTTTATCCATTAGTGGTTAGGGTATAGTATCATGCCCAAAACTCCTGTTAATTCATTATCTAAATAGCAAAACTCAAACAGGCGTACGGTAGTCTAACGTACGCCCGGGCGTACGCTAGCCTGAACCATATATATATATATATACTAGATAGGTGTGGCCGCACTCTGAAGCGGCATGGGGTTGTTTATTATTTTTATTTTGTTGGTTGGTCATTTGTGTGCTTTTGTTTTAATGAGTAGATTCTAAAATCAGTAAGGTGACCTTCCATGATCGTCCTTAATTTATGCCATTCCTAATTTCTGTCAAATGAATAAAATGAAAAAGAGTTAATAAAAATTAGCAATGACAACAGATAAGGTTGAGAATTGGATAAAAAATTAAAAAACAATGCTTATATATGATGTTCCGGTATCCACAGTTATACATGGTTAATAATTTTTTTTTATAACTATAGCCAACATGTTAACATTCACAAGAATAGTGTCATTACATAAGTGAAGAGGTATGACAATAAATTAATAAAATGAAGAAAATAGTTAAAACAACACAATTTCATGAAAACATTATTTGTATAATAAATATCAAATTTGTTGAGAAAAATAATGATCATTTTTAGACAAAATGCATATGCATATGAATACTCGGGCGGATTTTGGTTTGATAGTGAGAAAATCATACACATCCATTACCCGCAATATTCAGATACGACTTCTATCAATACCCATGAAAAGTCTTTCGGGTTCGAGTTTTATCCTACACAATTAGATTGGATTCGGGCAGATATCTACAATTTGAGATAATTTTATCAACCCTAATAAAAAATAATATTAAATCATTATTATCATAATTCCACAATTCTAAAATTGAGAAACATTTTTTATAATAAGTATGCCTAGTCAAATTTCTCATGCCAAAAAATTACAGTTATGGATTATGTGGTGCAAAATACTATAAATGAAAAACATAGGCATTGAAAGTATAAAATCAATGAAACTGGCGCATCAAAAGGCTTAGGCAACTTTATAAACAATAAAAAGAAGCTTAGGCAATGTTGCTTTAGCTTTATATAATATAAAATAAAATAATATGATTGTCGTTCAATGACGAGGACCCAAGAGGACCAATATTCCAGCAGCTAGGTAGGTTAGTTAATTAATTGATTGGATATGTAAACCGGACAATAGTTCTCAATAATAAAACTCGAATATTGTGGATAGCGATATGATTAATCACGAGACGAGTGTTAACAAATATAGTGCTGTCATGCTTTTGGGATATATATGAATGATCACAAGCCAAACAGTACGTAGGTGTAAAATCAAATCGCATTAACATGTAAGTTATATATTTATTTGCTTGAAGTTGCTGATCTAATCATAACACGTTAATTTCCAATTGGCGCATCTTAGGATAACTCACTAGCTCACGAATCACATAATTTGTGCTAAAAGCTGGGACAGAATGATACCCAAAGACTAAATTGGTTCTCAACAAATTATTTAAGGTGCATGATATATTTTTTCGTGGTCGTCATCCGAATTACATTTGATTTCGGTTGATTTTTTATAAATTTTTTAACAGAATAATATTAGTGATAATTTTTCAAAATACATTGAATATATTTGATGTAAAGACGGTAGAGGTGATGCATATAAAACCAATTAGGATGCTAATAAATTTTAGTATTATTATAATGCTAATATAATTATTAAGGATATTATTGTAGCTACTGTACATAGGAGTTACTCACCCTCGTCATCCTCCCATTTTTTTCCCTCCCGCTTTCCACCCTCACCTCCATTTCTCCCCGCGAAAAAAACCCAACAGGTTACTTGTAAAAATAACTATTTTATCATTACAAAATATTTATTTCGCCATTATAATCTATCTACACAATATATAATAGCACAAAGGGGAAAATTGTTGCTCCATTTCAAATTTTCTGCAACGAGAGTGAAAGTAGGAAGGACATTTTGGTCTTCACAGTTATTTTCGAACCATGACCATTTTAAATAAATGCAAAGATCATAACCAATCGCACTAAATACATTTGTTGTATCTTTTTAAATTAAAAACATATAATAGCGGATAGGAAAAACCCTTCCCCCATTTCAAATTCCCTACTCCAGGGGAGCGTTTGTAGGAATCTATAAGATATATGAAGCCAAAACAAGGGTTGAGTTTGCAGGGATTCAAAAACTCTGGCTCCTGAGAGCTTCACGGAAGGGTAGATTAGACCTTTCATGGTTCTGCACATTTAATTGAAGTGCTGCGTTTTTGT